AGATACTAAGGGAGCCAACCAGTCTCCTCCCCACAAGTACAGGAGCTGCTATCTGTTCTGAAATTAACTTGGCAGCAGGCAAAGGGTACCATCAATCTGAAAATCACTCTCTCACTAGAGCAGTCACAACTGGGAAGGCAGCAGATTTGCTACAATCTCCAATTACTAACTAATTATGCCCCCCCCTCCACACTCTAAAAAGGCATGTTCTCAGGGGCTACCATTTCAGTCTCTGCTGATTCCCCGGTTAGAGACAGGAGCTAAGGATCCACAAGGTCCTGTTGACAGATGTCAGGAGCTCAGACATAAACCTCCCCACAGAGTCTTGATCATGAAACAGCTTAACGGCTACTCACCCTCCCACCCGCATAGACGTGACTATCTCAAGAATCTGATTCAATATACATAAATAAATAAATAAGTTAGGACTTCTGTGGATAGTGGAAAGCTGTCATTTACTCGAGCAAGTCAAAAATGGTAATGGAGAGTGCTCAAGAGATGGTACAAAATGAACCATAGGACTTTCAGCTGCCTAGTGGTTAGGTCCAGGCACACAATGAAATATGCTTATCCTTGTAGAAAGCAAATCCCAGGCAGAAAATTTTCACATTCTGAACTTTTTATGGTGGGTGTCAAGCTGATGTAATACTCAGCAGTGGCTGCCATCATGGGTTTTATAAAATGCCTGTACACTGTACATTAAGGGTTTCACAAATTATTTCTCTATTCCAAAGAACTGACAACTTTTTATATATTATTCAATAGGTACTAGCTTTTTTTTTATTGTGTGTTTCTCTCTATATTATTTGCTATGGCATACCTCACACCACAAGTACAAATACTTTATACACACTAACAGTTGCAATAATAGGAATATGAATCATCTTCATGATCTACATAGTGCATTTAATGTACTTTGGAAAGCTAAACAATTACTTTAGCAGTGAAAACACTCTAGGAGTTTGCTAGAGACATTCTGAAATTAGTACCTATGACTCCAACAGTATAAATATTAAGGGATAGATCCTTGTTGTGCATGGGGTCGAAAAGTTGCACAGAGAGCCTGTTGTGGAGGCAGAAGAATAAGATTTCTTCTTAGGATATTTCCATTTAAAAAAAAGAAATACTATCTCCTAGAACTGGAAGGGACCCTGAAAGGTCATCAAGTCCAGCCCCCTGCCTTCACTAGCAGGACCAAGTACTGATTTTGCCCCAGATCCCTAAGTGGCCCCCTCAAGAATTGAACTCAACTCTCTGGGTTTAGCAGGCCAATGCTCAAACCACTGAGCTATTCCTCCCCCAAATGCAGAGTATCAGAAAGGGGTCCAGATACAGTAATGGACTGTTTCCGAAAGGCATGGTCAGCTCTGCAGAAGTTGTTCCCAACCTTCGGCCACCATTGTTGACTAGCATGTAGCCTGGCAGTAAGGATTCCTGGAAAGGAGATGCATCTGCCAGCATCCCTGATCCCCCTTGCATTGAGGACTAGGGCAAGATGCGGCCCTAAGTCATATTCAGCTAAAAGCTTCTGTTGGATCCTCTACTTCCACGACTTGATGCTCATGTTCATTACCACTACAGCTCAAAAAGTGAGAAGCCCTTTAGTCTTCAGCAGCTATTGCAAGTCTTCACACTGGTGTAGTGGAATATTTCCTACTTATACTAAGGGAAAGCCTGTGCTCTTCTTCACATGTGTTCCTGGGATGACACCATAGCCTACATCATCATTTTAATCAGCCAGAGTAAGTATTAGAAATTACACAATAACAAAGGCCAGGTATACACTACCGCAGTAAACGGATTTAAGCTACACTACTCCAGTTACATGAATAACATAACTGAAGTCAACATAGCTAGATCCACTTACCGCAGCATCTACACCATGCTGTGTCGATGGGAGACCCTCTCCCACTGACTTACCTTACTCTTCCTGGGGAGGCAAAGTACAGAAATAGATGGGAGAATGCTCTCCCATCGATTTAGCAAGTTTTCACCAAACCCACTAACTCTATGCTGCTGCATCAATTGTAGCAACACCGATTAAGCTCCATAGTGAAGACATGCCTGAAGTATTTTAAAAAGTTCTCTTAGTAACATGTTATTTTTGTTTCTGCTGTATCTGCATTGTCTCAATTGTTTCTACAATGGTTTTCTTTAAACTACCAAAAATCTTCTGAAAAGTGTAAAGATAGTGTGAGATACATCTCTAGAAACAGGCTTTGGAGCATTTATCTGACACTCTTCAACATTTGTTCTCCTTGTCTTAATGTTATATTTTGCTTTCTTGAAACTGGGGAAAATTAAGTTTGTCAACTGTATGACATGCTGTGCTTCCTTCTGTAACCTGTAAGCCAAATACTTACTACAGTGCTAAAGGTCACACTTATGGTTTGCCCTGCACAACCAGATAGATTTGTTTTAAATGGTTACATTTTGGAAAGTGACTAAAAAGGGGTATTACTGGGTTTCATAATTATGTTCTCTCAATTACTTCCATAGCAAATATGCTCAGTTTGCAAGTAAAACAATGATTTTGCTAAGTTGCCAGCCCAACAACCTAGGATTTGAAAGTCAAGAGAGGTTCTTTTGAGCTCACTCATCTTCCCCACTTCAAATTGTTCTATCAATTACATCCATGAAATAATCCCATTAATATAGGAATTACATTGATTTACATTAGGTAAATTAGAGCAAAATTTAGCTATTAACAACTATGCACGAGTCACATAGGCTCCAGAGTACCAATAGAAGCAAAAAGTAGCTTAAGAGATAGATTTTGCCACCCTTATTTGTAAGCAGTACTTTACTCTGCACATTACCCCCACAGAATTCAGTGGGACCACTCACACATTAAGTTACAGCTCAGTACTAGTAAAGATACAAAATCTGGTATTAATTGAGAAAGCACGTGTGGTGCTACTTCTGCTCTCAGTCCCACCAACATAAAATTGGAGTAAGTAAAATCACTGGACTTACTCCAAATTTACACTGGTGTAACTGAAAGAAGAATGGGACCAAGTATTTGTTGAAGGTTAAAGGTCTCACTTTAGAGTTCATTTACTGATCACTGTAGCCTGTAGAGCTAGCTTTAGCATTTATTTTTTTCAGCAGTAATGCAAGGAACCTACAGGCCTGTATCCTGTAAGACACTGGCTTCAGCAATTAGCATAAGGTTTGAGGCCTATGAACTTGGGTGCAGATAAATGGCCAAACAGGTCATCCCTAAGTTTTGGGGAACCCGGAATAGAGTGTATTTAAGGGGGAAGTTTGTCCATAACACCACCCAACCACAGGAACTTGAGCTAACACCAGCTTCTGATATTTTAGGATAGGAACATCTGCAGATGTCGGACCACAAGAGTGTCACGGGCAATGAATTGAGGTATATGATAGTAAGTTGAGATCATTTATATACTAACCTATAGGAGAAGGGCACCTCAAAATTAGTAGAGTGAGGAAATACAAATAAGGAAGAGAGGAGAAACCCCGACTGAATATGCATTAGAGATAGTGGCATCAGCGTAACATAAAAGTTTTATCCCAGCCTGTGAGCTTGGGAAGGGAAAGATGTAGCCCTTGGGAGGTGCCAGGATGATGGCTACTGGTGATTATGGAAGATGATGATGAGCAAGATAATGGCAAACATTTTGGGTTGTTCTGCAAGGGATGGTGCGAGTATATGGATGTTCAGATGTACATTCAGCAAGGCAGATAAAAATAATGCAGGGTTAGAGTAGTTTATGAATACATTTAGCAGGTCACAATTACAACATTCATACTTCAGGAAATATTTGTAACTGTGCACATCGGGGTTCCCAACTAAACAGTAATTTTAATACTGGGTCTGATCTTGGGACAAGAACCTGTCAAACCTCAGAGTGATAACTGAGAATTCTTCAGTAATCAATATAATTAATATGTGATGTAGCCCAATCTATGAATCATATGTTTAATTTAAAATTTAGAATCATTACTTCCTTAAAAAGCAATGAAGTCACTGAAATGCAAGTCATCCCAATTGCTGTTCAGTAATTGTTATAATGGTGAGGCACTGAGGTCACTCACAGCATAAGCTTTCCCAAATCTCCAGAGTCATAAGTATCCCACAGACACCTTTTACCACAACTTTGCACATGCTCATTATCATTGAGCTATTAATATCTTCTCTTTGCTTTAGTATTCAAGACAAAAAACATTGGGTCCAATACAGCTGTCCTTACTAAACCTCAGGCAGTCTACTCTTGTATAAATAGGAGTTTTACCTGATTAAGGACTTCAGGATTTGCCCCTTAAAAAAGGAAATGGTTACATAGAAAGGGCACAGATGCCCCACTTTAAGTACTAGACTGAATTTTTGCTCAATGCCCCAAACATGGGCCAGTACATAGACTTCCCTGCTGCCCCAACACAGAGAGAGGCAATTTGCCACAGTCCTTCACTGAATATAGCATATTCCACCATGCCTACTGGCTCAATTCTGCTAGCCAAGGCTCCAGATTCCCTACCCTTTCTGATTCCTGCTTGCTTGACAGGGGGAGGAAGTACCATACCCACAACCCTCTGCTCTCCCTTCCTTTAGCCCCCATGCTGGGTCCCAAGGTCCAGAAAGCCCTGCTGTAACCATAGAGAGGTTGTGGCTTCCTCTTACTGCATGGTATGACCACCCTAGTGTCAGGCACATTCTGGCCTCAAGTAACTTAACGGAAAAAAGGAAACTGCACAAAGTGTCCATATTACTACTATTTTACTCCCTCACAAAGTGCAGTCAGTTATTTAAAGCTCCCATTTTATTCACTCTTATACATGAGGATGGAAGTATTTCTTCTTTTCAGGGTTTCAGGTCATTCACCGTGTAACATTAAATAGAACTAGCAGCGTATTTTGTTAAGCAACAGCTACCTTTAAACTGTAAATCAAGAGTTCTAGATAAGTTTGCTAGACCCAGATAATTATAGGCTATAGTGACATGAAATTAACTGTGTGTTATTCAAGGCACTCACCTTATCTCCAGGACCAAAGAAGAATTGATTTTCCAGCCTTCTACAGAATGTTGAAAGATTGAAGAGCCACTCTTTTGAATTATTTTATCAGAGCTATTGAGCATTGATCTACTCAAACTCAACTCACCATCTCTGAAATGCAATACGGAAAAGACACCATTAAGGTAAGGTTGGGGCTGCTGGGATGCTTTTTCTACACATCACAAAAAACTAGTGGGGGTTTATTTATATCCATGAGGCAAAGCAGCAAGAATTTCTCCCCCATCTCCACTCATTTTACATGTTCAAAAAAATAAATTCCACCTAACAAAATGTTATTTTAGATACAAGGAAATGCTTAATCTGAAAAAATATATAAAAACACTTTAATTACATTGCATTTAAGTTATTTTAAATCATATACCTTAAATACAGAGGAAGCTTTTTATTGTGAATGTGGGCCCAAACTGACCAGATGTGGGCCAGAACCTGTACTCCTGGTACATCACATTCTCCCATCAACTATTAAGCTATGCACTAAGTTTTAGCTTTCAGTCCCCCTCCCCACAATTTCTCAGTTATCATGCATGTGCTGGGCACCATCAATTCTTTTGACTCCCAATCATACTACAAGTCCCCCCTTATGTGGAGTTTCAAGCTACTGGGGCATATTCTTCCTTGATATGCTCATGGAATTTCCGTACAAGTTTGGAACAAGGGGGGGAATACACCCATAATAACTTAAGCTTGATTTTTAGGAACTTCTGCACACACGTCTCACACAGCCATATAGCGTCAAAGAATAATCTTATCATAGTTACATACTAAGCAGAGTCAGACGTGGACATTTTTTAGGTGGAAAAACCTTGTGCACTAGAGGAAGTGGTGGCTGATGATCATGAACATGTACAGAGGTATTGTAATTAAAAATCAGACAATAATCATTGCAATTATTGAATTGAATTGGTGTGTCCTGGTCTGTGGGAAGCTTGAGGGCCAAAGAATCACACAAATCTAACAGGACACATAAAAAGTTAGAAATAAAAATAGCAAGAATAATACTAAATCTAAATTCTTCTCTCTTGTAGGTAATCCTATTGACTCCAGCACACAGATACAAGAGACAAAATTTGGCTCCCTGAGTTCAAATTTGAGGTTCTTTAATCCAGAGTTTCTCAATCTGTGGGTCATGACCCAAAATTGGGTCACCAGAATGTATTGAAAGGTTGTGTCAAGGCCTGGTGGGGGAAGATTTGGTCCTAGTGCATGGGATTGCAACACCACTCTCAGCTGGCCTAACCACTCCATCATGATAACAAGGGGCTAACTCAGCCAAATTTGATTGGCACTGCGACCCCACATGCCAGTCCACTCACAGAAATTCGCCCCCTTCCAAATGCCCCCCACCCCTCCAATCAGGAAGGCTGTACCAAACATGAGCGGCACTGAAACTCCAGAGACCACAACACCCAGAGCAGGAAGCAAAACACAGCCAGCCCCACAGGACAGGAGCAGCCGCTATGGTACACCTGGTGTACATATGTAGTACTTATTACATTAATGTGTAGATTATATATCGTGAGTAAGAAATAGTTAGAAAACCAGATTATTTGTTGTGCTAAATCTATTTGCTGGGTCTTGACAGGCCATCAAGATTTACAAATGGATCCTGAATCCCAAATGGTTGTGGATCACTACTTTAATCCTTATTGGATAATAATATTTTAGAGTTAGAGTGCCTTTCATCCGATAGCATTTCAAATTACTTTACCAACTACGTACAGGAATCGCTTTGCCTACTAAGGAAATGCAGCCACCTCTGTAATAATACATAAATAATCAAATTAATATTTGGCTCTAGTATGGAGCTTTTCATCAATAGATCTCAAAGCAAGTAAATGGAACACGCTAGCTGTTAGACAGTAAGCTCTTTGGGATAGAGTCTGTCTTTGTTTTGTGTTTATACAGCACCTTGAACAAATGGGATCCTGGTTGATGAGGGCTCTTAAGCACTACAAAAAAATAATACTTGGCAGTATACAAACAGTACAAAACAGATTAGTCTACAGTGATGAAGCCAATCGAATTTAAACTGCAGTGGGATTTTAGTTAGGCTGAATGTAATTACCTAAACTAAAATTTGGGTAGCATTTCAAAAAAGTCATGGTCACTAAAGAGCCAATAAGTGGCCAAACACGGTTTCACAAGTCATCAAAAAGACATCATTACTAGCAACCCCGTGCCCCATTGCTATCATGCTGAGGCACTGATATAGTACTAATTACGAGGTAAGATGCCACCTACTGAAAAACCAACTGAGTAATTTTACAGGTCTGGCACCTTTATGCAAATTATTCTATTTATTTTAACTTGAAGTGGATAGGAGGATGTTGCAAAAGTCCACGTGGAATAAACCCATTAGTGTCAATGAAAGTTATCTGCATATGTTCTATGGGAAAGATCTCAATCAGAATTCATTTAACCATTCCCTTGCGACTCCACAGGCAGTAAAATTTCTTTACAACAGCAGTGAACATATTTACGGCATATATTTGCCCTACAACACAATATAGTACATGCATCTAAAGGAAAATTAACAAAATAAATCAAGGAAAGTATACCATATAACAATACATTGGAGAGGATTCTGGTTTATGCTGAGCTAAGAGTAATCCATTAAGCACTTTCACACAGTGGCATACATGACAGAATTAGCAATTAATTAAGTAACTTATACCTAAAAAGTACTCTACCATTTGAAATGTGGTTGACTTGAGTCTTCGAGATGTACTCTACAGCTACAACAAACCACAAATATGATGCAATAAAACAACTTTTAATAAAACATGTTTTCAGGAGCTGAAAGTTCCAAATGTTCTGCATTAAAACTCTACTCCAAATGCAGTAGAATTTTGCTTACTTATAAAAGTGCTCTCCTTATCCCTTCTTTACCCCGATATATCAGTAAATACACCAGAGAAAAAGCTACCTTTACATAAAACTAAGCATGTGTGCCAAACACCCAGAAATTTTTCTTTGTGTAAATAGTCTGACAAGTATAACAAATCATTTGGGCCACATTCTACCCTCCAGATTTGTGTGGAACTACAACTGATGTAGTGGGAAATCCACTTAAAGACAAAGGGCAATTTAGGACTGAAATCATTAACCTTGATGCCGACTCTCCTGACTTTGGAGATATATTAAACTCTCTGGCCATATACAATATCCATTGATATCAATGAACCAAACAATGAATCTTGGATAAAATATGGCCCAATATGATTCCAGAAAGAAATCTTTCATCACCCCTCTTTTCTGGCCTTCAAACAAACCCCCAACTTCACCAAAATCATCAGAAGCAAGCTTCCCACAAACCAGGACACACCAATTCAAAGCAGCACCAGACCCTGCCAGAACAACAGGTGCAAAACCGGAACACAGATCTCCATTGCTATGATTATCAACACCCCAACAACACACCTTTCAAGTTCCATAGGTCTTACATATGCCTATCATAAGATGTTGGTATACCTCATGCAGGGCATCAAATGTCACAAGAACTATGTGGGTGAAAACAGTTCTTGATCCTCAAAGGAAACCTACACACCACCTTCAAAGAGACAAACCTAGAAGTTTAAATTCATAACTTTGCTAGACACTAAAAATCATGGACTCAAAGACACCGGTTTTATGTCTTATTACAACAGTTAGGGACTACTTTCTAACTGATTTTAAATACTTTCAGTTATATGTGCCCCAAAAAGCACTTGTATTAGGATACATGTTTATATTTATATAAACATATATATTTATTAGGAGACATGTTTATCTTTAATAAGCTAGTGAGAAAGAAGGCTAGTTAGTTTGAAATGTCTTCTTGGGACCACAATTAAAACGTTTAGCTTATATATATACATATACATACAAAGACATCAAGAGAAGTTTGAAGAGAAAGGAACTCCAAGATATGGTCCAAAAGGAGTGGGGAGGGATTGTGGGCACCTCTGATCCTGTGTAAATGGGAAAAGGAGTTGAGAGTGAAGTGTGTATCTATAATACCTACATTTGTAAAGAAACTATACTAAACCTGAGATTTTAATATACCAAATTGCAGCAAGACAGAAAAAGTTATAGCCCAGTTATGTGTCCCTTTATAAAGGTGATACAAACAATACATTATTAACCATATAAAATACAAAGGGGTTCCCAGGCTTAACTCTGTGTTGGGAGGGAAAAAAGAAAGGGGGAAAAAGCAGGGTAAGGAAGAAACAAGCTCGCTGCAGCCTGGCAGGAGTGAAACAATTTGCCTGCCCCCCCCCCCCAGCTCTGTAATTAGTGGAGTTAATGAAGGAGGAGGAGCCCTGCTATCTGAACTGTGCCTGCTCCTTTCGGGGACCGGGACAACCTGCCTGCGCTAACAAAGGCTCCGTTCTTTTGCCTCTTGCTGAGGCTCAGGCTCAGCTCAGCGGTTGAAATAGATGGGCAGCGCTTTTCCTGTCGAGCTGCAGCGAAACGCTCGCAATGCAAATTTTCAGACACGCTACGTACGAGGCAACCACAAAGCCTGCCTGGAGCTGCTGCTGCTGCAGCTGCTCCAGCCCGCCGGCAGCAACCTTTCTGCCAGCTGAGCACAGCTGCTTGTCATGGTCCCTGCAACTAGGCATAGGGGGAGCAGGCGAGGCGCTCCAGCGGTGCAATGTCCGCCCCTCTTTCCAGCAGCACAGCTGCTTGTCAGGAACCCTGATCGGGATGAAGGGGGAAGCGATGCACTGGCTTCCTTCCAGCATAGCTACCTGTCAAGGAACTTGGAAACGGGATGCTAGAGATGAGGGTGGGGAAGGGTCGATGCACTCGCCTCCCTCCAGCATAAAAAGGAGCTTGGGGCAGCGATGCAATCGCCTCCTTCACACTAGCACAGCGGTGCCCGCCAGCGGCTGGACCAAACCTCTCCGAGGCACTGGCAGGCTGGCAGTGAGGAGCAGAAGGACACACACCAACCACCGGCTGGCTCTCCATCCTCCGGGGCGCACATATGTACACACCCTCCTTCCCAGCCACACCAGCCGCACATGGGTAACGGAACCATATTGTATGCATGGATAGAAATGCACATACGGAGAGGGCCATGCCCACTCTGGGTAATACCTCCACAGCCCCACCGCGTTCACACATGGCACCTTCGTAGGGGGCACGTGTACGGGGGCAGAGGTTTGCCATGCACCCTTTAGGGAGCTGTCTCCTTCCTGTAAATGATTCATTGGGGATCTCCTGTTCTTCCTCTCCCTCCACTCCCAATGAACCCTCACAATAAGTAACCCTGCTTTGCATTTATATTGCGCCTCCAAACCAATGAGCTCTGGGCGTGTGCAAACATTCATGAATAAAAACCCGCTGCGAATGCTTCCAAAAAATCGATTTTACGCTTCTGGTGACAAATAAAAACCAAGAATAAAATTCCGCTGCGTTATCGCATTTCTGCAGTCCATGGCTTTCTTTAAAAAGAAATCATGAAAGAATAAAAAGCTGACAATCATCTCTGGTGGACGGAAACAAAGACTTGGCTAAGAAACCAGCTTCTTCGCGTTAGTTTCAAGTTTAAAAAAATAATGGAGTATCTAAAGACGAAAATAAACCAAGAGCCCAAGAGGACGACAGCAAGCAGCTTTTGCTTTTGTTTTAATCACAAATCGGGAGAAGAAAGAAACAGGCGGTGGTCTGTGCAAGAAAAGGTTTGCAAGAGGAAACATCTGAAGAGTGAAGGGGATTTTATAATCTATTCTCGGATTCCCGAGGAACAGTGTACCAGCAATAACAACCATCACCAAAGTTATGACAATCTGCTATACAAACTTCAAAGCAACAAAGGCAGAAAGAGACAGCTCCTTGTTATTGTTCACTCACTCAAGCCAGGAAACGAAACATAACTTGATTTTATTATTATGTCCTGTGTAACCACCAGAAAGGTGTCCCAAGTCCTCAGTAAAAAGCTTTTTCCATCTAACCTTCTTAGAAAATGTGTTATTGACTAGATCACAAAAACAACAAACCTAATGTGCCACCCGTTTCAAAACTACACGACACTGATCAACCCTTTCCCGTTTAAAAGTAACCGGCTTCCTTCAGCCTCTTTCTGCGCGCAAAAAAAGCAACCATTGTGGGGCGTGGGGTATTTAACAAACCTCTGATCACACTTTACTTTTGCTCCTTAAATCTAAAATCAAAGACAAACTCTTTATTGCGAGACCATTCTGCAGTGATGGTTGCTTTTATCATTTGAACATGAAAGCAACCACCACGCTTATAAACGCAAAGTTGAAATAGATGCTAGAATATAAAACCAAGGAAATGGGGGTGGGGGAAAGAGAGGAAGAGTAAGAAAGAGCCTGAGTCATTTAAATTTCACACGCTGCTTTTCCTTTGTCAAATCCTTACAAGTCAAGGCTTTGCATTTACCCTGTGAGTTGCGTTTCCTGGTGCTCCTCAGTTCTTGCTATTTCTTTTGTCTTATAAAAGATCAGGAGGATACTTATCGTGCAGATAGTCCACCTCTTCCTGACGGAACGCATGTCTTCTCCCAGAGCCCCCCCTTCTCTTTGTTTGGCAGGGGCGTGAAGAAGAAAAACAGCAAACACAAAACACAAAGACTTTACGCAAATTTGCAAAAATAAAAATAATTTTAAAAAGGAGCGGGCAGAGATGCTGCTGTCATGGGCAGAAACCGCAGGCGGCGGGGGAGGCTGCTGCTCCTCGGCTGGGGGAGTAAGTCCTTCTCCTCTCCCCTGGCGCTCCCCGGAGCCCGTGTGCGCACCGACGCGCCGCGGCTCTCTCTGGCTCAGCAGCCACTCTCACGTTTCTTCCCCGTGTACAGAGCAGTCGGCAGCAGCCAAGCTCCGCGGCGTCGCTGGCCCCTCCCTTTCCCTGGCGGGGAAATGATGAGCACAGCCCGGCCAATAAGTAGCCAGGGGGGCGGGGACGGCTGCCTCCCCAACTTTAAAAGCCTTTCCAGGCGCCCCGAGCTTCTTTGATGCTGCTGCACGCGCTCAAGCTGGGGATGGAGCCGCAGCATCTCACCGCGCTGAAGGACGCGCCCCACAGAAAACTCTTTAAAGATCCCCTTGCCTTCTCTTTGAGGCTGGAGGCATGAGCCATCAACCCCAAGGGAACAGCTACGTATTGTGCATGCACCGCTAGAGTTAGTACGTTGCTCGCAAATCCCGTGTCATACTAGCGCTTGGCCCTAACCACCGGCATGAATTAAGTCATCTACTCTGCAGTCGGTTAGCAATTTCTTTGATGCGGGTAAAAGGGTGTGTATTACAGCTGGAACAAGGTTGCAAAACAATTTCTTTTATAATACCTTTTTTTTCTCAAAAACACCCAGTGTCCCCAACCAGGCACTAGACGGTATGACTTGAAGATTTTTGGAGGGGAGAAGAGGATTTCAGTAAAATCCCTTCAGCCACCCTGCAGCAATGGGATTGTAGAAAATACATTTTCTTTTAAAAAGATTTTTTAAAAGGGGTGGGGGGGGGGGTCCGAGCACAAATTGCCCCCACGTTTGCACATTGGCAGGCTGGAGAAGGTTTAGAGCAGGGGTAGGCAACCTATGGCATGCAAGCTGATTTTTTTTAATTTAAATGAAGCTTCTTAAATGTTTTTAAAACCTTATTTACTTTACCTACAACAATAGTTTAGTTATATATTATAGACTTATAGACAGAGAACTTCTAAAAACGTTAAAATGTATTACTGGCATGCGAAACCTTAAATCAGAGTGAATAAATTAAGATTCGGCACGCCACTTCTGAAAGGTTGCCATCCTCTGGTTTAGAGGATAAAAACAACATTAATTGTCCATGCTTATGCCCTGATCCTGCAAATATTTATGTATGTGTGTAGTCCCATCAAAGTCAGTAGGACTACTGGCATGCATAAAGTTAAATATGTGCATAAGTCTTTGGACAGCAGCTGCTAAGATATTAGCAGGGTATAGTTAAATCCTAATCCACTTTGCCTAATTTTATTGTATATACTTGTTAGCTGGCTTGGCATTCAACAGGCTGTTACTGTCAGACTGATGCAGGGACAATTGATATTAAATGGATAGTGGCCCTTTAATAGCAAGTAAAACTGGGGGGGGGGGGGAGGAGGGGGCTGAGGGAGACCCAACAAAAAGACATGGGTAGTAGAAAATTGTAAAGCTTGACAGTCACAAGTGAGTCGAAACCTGGCTCACTCGGGGCTGTATTTACTCTCCTATGGCCCCACTATGCTCTCTTCCAATAGAGTTGACATGTCAACTGTATGGGGAATCCATGGAGCTTGACTGGGTAAATACATGGGATGGGGAGTGAGGAGTCAACCCCAGGCAGGCTGAATAGCTGTTTGTCTTTCAGCTTAATGTTGGCACAAGAACAAATGGGTATAAACTGGCTGTGAATACATTTAGGCTGGGACTTAAAAGAAGATTTCTAACTATCAGTAGAGTGAGGTTCTGCAAACAGCCTCCCCCTAGGAATTATGGGGGTCAAACAACCTAACTAGGTTTAAGATGGAGCTTAATAGATTTATATTCAGGGGCCTGGACTTGATGATCTGTGAGGTTCCTTTTACAAGCCTATAATGTATACAGAGTAATTTATTTTTCCTCCTTTACTGTGCATTACTTTGCATTTAATCAACAATGTTCTTCATTTGTCACGTTTCCCATTCATCTTTTTAGGTTCCTTCAAAGTTTCTCACAGTTGTTTTGAATTGGCACACAATTATTTATCTTAGGCATCTGCAAATTATTACATCCCTAGTCATCCCCCTTTTCCAAATCTAGTGCAGAATACTGAGGCACCCTATTGTTAACTTTTAGCCATGATGCAAATTGACTGTTTATTCCTACCCTTGATACATGACAAACCTTTGTCTCTCATCCCACAACTGGTTAGTTTCTTTTGTGAGGAATCTTGTCAAAAGCCTTTTTTGGGGGGGACCCAACTACATCAAGCAGTTCTTCTTTAACCATTACTGTGATACATTCAAAGACTTCAGAGATTAGTGACAATTTTCTTTTGCAGAAACCATATTAGACCCTATCACATCATGATCTTGCAGATTTTTTTTTTCCATTTCAACCAATTGACCAAGTACAGGCTTGCTGGTCTGTAATTCCCTAGATCACACCTTTTAAAATGTTAATTTGCTCTTCTCCAACCCTCAGCTCAGCTTTACAATTTTCATTCCTAAGTTCCCTCATGAGAATCGGAGGTGTCCCCCCACCACAGCAGAACCTTCTCCCACACATTTGCATGGGTCACTGAAGCCCCTCTTGTTGCAGGGTCTCTAACATTTGCTACATTCTACAATAATCTACAAATTCTAATATTTATTTAGAGAATGGGCCCAGTCCAGAACCAGCACCCATTGAAGTCAACAGGAATTGTACCAGTGATATTAATGAGAACTGAATCAAACAGCAAAGACAACTGGTGTACTACTCCTCTGATAACCCAGACTCAACAGATAGTGGTCTCCAGATAAATAGAAGTAACAGAGGTAGGAAACCACTTTACCTCCATGAGATGAGATTTTTCAAAGGCTACTTGGGACCATTTAAATGTTACCATTAAGAGCAGGCAGTTTCTCTTTTTAAAAATAATTATATATGAAATACAAAAAATCTACACTGACATATAAAAGTGGCATAGCTAAGATCACAAGGAAATGCACAAGTTACAGTTCCACTTGCCATGTTAGCTATGTTGTACATAGGTGATATTTTCTATTTCTGGTTAGATGTGTATATAATTTGTACATGTCAAAATGTATACCATAATGGCATGCAGGATGTACAATATATTCATCTTTTCATGAACGTACTCAGGTTTTGAATTAAGTGCTCTGAACTGCCATTCAGAGATGGCAATATGCAGTCTAATATTACAGTGGTTCTCAACCAGAGGTCCAAGGGTCCTGAGCAGGTTTCAGGGGTCTGCCAAGCAGGGCCAACATTAGACTTGCTGAGGCCCAGGGCAGAAAGCTGAAGCCCCACCGCATGGGGCTGAAGCCTGACGTTCCAAGCCCCTCCACTTATGGGTGAAGTTTGAGAAACTTAGCTTCACAGGGTCCCCTGTGGTTTGGGGCCCTGGCAATTGCCCTTCTTCCTACCCCTAACACTGGCCCTGACTTTTATATTGCAGAAAAACAGCTGTTGTGGCACAGGTGGGCAGTGGAGTTTTTATAGCATGTTGGGGAGAGAGGGGGGCTCAGAAAGAAAAAGATTGAGAACTCCTGTAATATTACACAGTAATAGCGTGTTTCATGTTGTACAAAAATGGAGAAACACATGGTTCTCCCCCCCAAAGAAGTTTACAACCTTAAAATAAAATGTTCATAGATTCCAAGGTCAGAACCATTGTGATCATCTAGTCTGTGTATAACATGGTTATAAACATCCACAAAATAATTCCTAGAGCATATAATTTAGAAAACATTAAATGTTACTTTAAAAGTTGTCAGGGATGGGATCCACTACAAATGGTAGTTCTGTGACAAGGGTGTAGTTCCTGTATTCCTGCCTCTCCCGTGAGACCACTCTGAGACCTTCTTGCTTGTAAACACTGGCCTGTCCTTTATTTACAATGTCTCTCTCTCTCCCCCAATACATATCAGTGCACCTACCCCTTTACACTGTATGTGTGGGGCAGTGGTTTGAGAGGGGTCTAAACTCAGACAACTCCCCTGACCAGGCTCTCACTTACCTTTTCTCCCCCCTGGCTCTTTTTAAACACTGGCCTGTGATAGGTTAATTAGCTTATTGACTTCCTAACCCCAGTCTGGCCTAATAATTGGATACACTCCTGACCAATTAGGCCTTCTTTGGGGCAATGTAATTGTTGCTAATACTGACCAGACTCCTGGTTCAAACTCCATCTCACAGCCTTGTCACATGTTCCAATGTGAAATTACTCATTGTGGATTGCCATGGGCACGCAGGGGTGAAAGAAAATGCAGGCCTGTTATTTACCAGGCTGCACGTGGCAATAGACTATATTGGTAAGGGATGCAAGGAGAGTATGGGTCACGATGCAAACTGCAGACACACACACACACACAAATTAATCAATTTAAAGTTTTATTGGGGATAATTACAAGGGGTAAGGGAGCAGCGTTTGATTAGCTAATAGAGTTAATGAAACTTAAAACACACAATGACTAAAATATCTACTAACAATATTTATAAACAAAGATGCAGCAATTAGTAATAACTGATACTTACAAATACAAACCAACGCATAACGACCGGCAAACGTAGAAACTCTGTTTGAAACTTCGAGGTGATCAGGCTCGGTTACAGGTGTACACAGGATACACAGGATTCATTTTTCTTTCTCCTCTCCCTGCCTGCACATGGCAGGCAGGCCCATAAAGTACCAACTATGACATCATAGAAGTGTCATAGGGGACGGGGCCCAAAACCTGTTTGTGTTCGTTTCTGATTGGCACAAGCAAAGTTTACACCAAATAGGGGAGCAGGTGCCTCAAAGTCTGACTTCGCCCCCAAAAGGTGAGGAAATGCATATTGTTTTAGAATACGTGCAACACTGAATGACAAAAGAAGAGGCCAGGGCAATACCGGTATGGGCAAGTTTTACAGGATGCAGACAGGAACTCATCTTAACATGCCTCCGTGCCCTGGCCGAAATAGTTAGGCCGAAAACCTAAACTTCTGAGTCCGACTCCTCATTCCCACCTACGAGGGGATGCGCGGCGGGGGTGGAAGCGATGTAGGCTGAGGCAACAAACTTGTGAATGCAGGCTTTAATGAAGGCACATCCGAGACAGAGAAGAGCAAGCCCAACTAGAAGGGACACAAACAGGGATTGGAAATAGGATTTGTAGGGCACAAGGC